TGCTGAGCTGACTATCATCCACACTGCCGGCGAGATTCAACTTGTATACATCGAGACCGAAGCAGATAACCCCGACGGTACGGTATATTCACATCATTCCGGGATATCCATACAGCTTCTTCATTTCTTATATCATTATTGCTAGCCTTGGGACCTTCTTTTGCACACCGAAATTAAAAGAATTGGAGGATTGATAAATTGGGTGGCTGTCAGTTGAGTGTTCGGTCCATAGATGATGGCTCGGATCGCAAAGATTCGTAATCAACGGAGTGTTGGCTGATTGACCCAGCCACGAGACCTAAGCGGTGAGTCCCATTATGGCAGACACGTTCTGGTGAATGATCGATGAGGACTTCGGATGCACTGGTCCACAACTTGGTTTCAGGCATGCTCTGGCGCTGGGCACAGCTGACGGACGATCTATAGGATCCCTGCTCGTGTTGGAAAAGAAAACCGTCAGATGCACTCACTGGGCAATCGGAGTGCGTCTCACCGGTCACTACCCCCTTCCCCTGTGTTGAACCCATACACACTACTACGGGACCCCGCTTCAGTGCATCGTCCTGGAATTCGAGCCAACCAGCACAGATATCGCCGAGCTCAACAGCCCGTCTCCATTACAGGCGCCGCGGTACCTCGCACTGGTGGCTTAGTCTCAAATTTTGGATGACTATGATGTTCCTTGATAATTTTGGGTTAACTTTGATGGAAGCTCGAATGCCAACGCAACTTCCTATGTGCCCTCCAAATCAATAGATATAATTTCAAGTTCTGATCGAGTCGCCTCATCAGGAATCGCAAGCTGTGGTGCTTTTCTCAGCCCAGCTCTGGCAATCGACCTTGGACCTTAACAGTTTTTCGAGGGGCAAAATTGGTAAGGCTAACTTTGCGTATTGGGATGATTCACGAATTGAATTTATGGGACCGTGCAGCTTTATCGTTCATCAATTTCGGTTAGTCGCATTTATGCTCTTTGTGCCCTGTCAAAAGTGGTGGGAGAACCCACGGTCTGCAGTCGCTTTCTGGTGTTGGACATTCGCAAGATACACATCTTCCTTAAACCCTCAACGATCCAATCCAATCTTGACACTGACCGCTATGTGCCTCCCCGTATTCGCTAAACCTGAGGTCGCGGCGGCTAAAGTTTCACGAGAGATGAAAAGGCTGTAGGGTGGCAAAGATTTCGAGCCTGTGGCTGTTGACTGGAAGATGATGTTGCTAAATTTAAGTCGAGGCTTAACAAGCGGCGATAGAGCTAGAGTTGTGCTTGTCGATCGCGAAGCCGTTGTACCAGTATGGAACAATCATCTAGCTATCGCGAGTTGATGTCATGCGGGCTTGTGCTATAGTTGTGCGAAGCAGCTCGAAAGCAGTCAGTTGCGTCTAGGTTCGTCATGTAATCCGCATAACAGACCGAGCCTCACGAGAGGATTGAGGCGCACGAGGCCACGCGATGTAACCTTCAAGGTGAGGCTGCGAAGCTTTGGACCAAATGCATCCCAGCCTACATAGCAGACATCACTGATAACTCTGGCGCTCTATTTTTGCCTTATCAAGATCACATCAAGATCACATAACGGTCTGCCAAACTCTTCTTAGATCTGGTGAACTACCTTTCCAATCCATTCAACAATCACACGTCAACACCCTCCTACGCCGCTTTCTACGCCAAGTTTTCTCATACGCGGCCGACATTAATCGCGCCTAATCATTCTTGGCCTTGTGAAAGACTGATCCACATTGCAAAAGTCTAGCCTCGAGAACAGAAAGCTTTAGAAAAACCCAATGACTGACTACTTCACCGAAGACACCGACCGCTCTGTGCTGGGCGATAATGACATTATGAGCCAACTGTTTCCACAACCATCCAGCGCTTCGTCACATTCCGACACCATGTACGGAACTACCCTTATATACCACAGTCCACACTTACCTAGTATATCTGCTGGTGGCTCTCCGGATTACTACGGCAGTCCGCATCTAACACCTCTATACGGCCAACCGACATACTGGAATTCACTGCAACAGAATCCCAACCAGGCCGATTTCTCATATCCTCAATACTCTCTTCAGTCAGTAACGATGGCACCACTCCAGTCAATCCCTAAATCACCGCAATATCTCAATTCATACCCCTCGATATTCCGCTCATCATCAACATCCTCAAATGGCACATACCATCTTGCCACCTCTGGGGACTACACACGCGTATACCGACGGTCCGTCTCGCCAAGCACGCCCGACTTGCGTGCATACGGCTACCAGAATGAGAACGGATCATGGACATGCGCCTACCCAGGCTGTGCATCCAAAGCGGTGTTCACACGAGGATGTGACCTACGGAAACATCACAAACGACACACGAAAGGTTACTTCTGCTCTCATGAGAGTTGTCTGCAGAGTACGGGAGGCGGGTTCTCGAGAAAGACGGATCTAGCCAGGCATATGGCAAGTCATCAGCCCAGTATTGTTTGTGAGTGGGATGGGTGCGAGAGGGTTTTCAGTAGAGTGGATAGCATGGTATGTGGAGCGATCGTTGTTTCTTGGAACGTTGCTAACGAGTTTTTTAGAGGGTTCACGTTAAGAGGATACACTTGAAGAGTATTCGTGGAGAGGTACGAAACCGAGTCAACTCTGCCTAAGCTTTGAATTGAGCAGGCCGCTTGCAATTCGTGTATGATTAGTTATGAGGTATCGCCTGCCTGAAGAGCCAGAGAAGAACACAATAGGTGTGATGCGAAACGATGTGGCATATAGGGGATTACGTTTCGTCATTAGGTTGCATTTGCTTCAGCGCACCGACACCAAAGGATTTGGAGTAGTTCCTTATACCAGAGGTATAGTGGTCTCACATACTACATTGTTACACTATATTAAATATCAAGCCTTTGCGATGTATAGAAAAGATCGATCAAATCGAGGCTAAGAAGGCTGGTTAAAGGCCTGAAGTAGAAGATAAACCGGACTCAAAAGAATAAGTTCAAGGGCAGACTACCAACAGACCGCGGGGTCGTGAATACCAGAGATGCTATTGTGTACTATAGTAACATGAAGATATGGTCCCACAAAAGCAAAGTATACCTGAGACTTGTGTAGATCTTTTTGGATTGAAGATCACGTTCTTCATGTGTCAGCATCTGCCTATCTCCGATCGAAGGAGCCATATATCCGCGCCCCTGAGCGAACGTCATTCTCTATGAGTGTCTCATCCCTGTTCGGGAAGACAGTGCTATGATTATAAGGTTCTGGTAGCCTACACCTTGCTTTTCGAGAGTCCGGGCCAGGCCCACTTTCGACAACTCAGTTCGGTCAATTTACAAAGGGAGCTCAGAGCACAGCAGTGTCTCCGGTGATAAATCTGCTGGGCCTACTTGCAGTGAATTTCCTTATTCACAGACCTTGGCGTAAGCATGTTAGAACTCGAAGTGATCCATCAGGCACGGCTGTCTGGCTGTAGCCCGGGTCTGAAAAGGGATAGCTTGGCGCGAAGGGGTGGATGATGATCACAACTGAGATGGCATGAAACATTGTGCTTTCTGTGGAGCCCTAAGAGATATCCACAGTGTAATAGACGACGTATCCTTACGCTTGATAACAATATCAACAATACGAAACGTGTCTATCATGACAACAGCGACCACCGACTCACGGCGATACCATCACTCTATCCTGTCCGAGACTCGAGTACCATACAAGGGTACCTTCTATCCTCGCGCCGACGTAGCACGGAGTTAAAAGAACCTGGATGGAAAACTTGTTGATTTCAGTAGCGCGCTGATATCTCCACACTGGTGGCTCGATTCTCTCAGACCACTGCGGCGCCAGAGGGTGTTGGACGAGGAGCTTTTACTGTTCATCGAGAGGCTAGACACTGTCCGGGGGGAGGTCCTCCTCCACATAAGCGGACGTTTGGCCTCTGCCCAAGCATAATCCCCTGGCCGAGCTTTGAAGCATTCGGGACATAGTCTAAATCAGGACTCCCGCTGTCCTTGTCTAGCCAGTATTGTAACC